TCTCCTGGATAAGCCTTCCCAAATTTATATGAATTCTTCCTATTTACCATTTCTTACATATGTCCCAACTTCTTTACAAAAATAATCATAAAGTCAGAGGATCTAAAGTTGGACAGGACCTTGGATATCTTCATGATGAAATGAGATGCAAGGCTCAAGAAGGGTGCTTTATGGAAAGAGCCCTGGACTGGAAGTCAGGAAACTCAAAATTCTTGTTCCAGCTCTGCAATTAGCTGAAGAAGACATTTCCCCTCTCTGGGCCTCAGTCTCCACATCTGCGAAATGATGGCACTGAACTGGGTCACATACAAGGTCCCTTCTGGCTCTAATATTCTATGACTCCAAGGGGACTCTCAAAAAAACAACTTTATGTGGGTGTCAGGTATTATATGAAGTACAATGCTTTTGATTTTAGGGCTATTTGTGTTCTAAGTGGGTGAGTCCTTTGACGTTCATCATTCTCAGTTACATTTCACACAGTTATTTATAAACTCAGGTATACAACACGGGGGATAACAGCAGGAATTGATGTGAATGGAAAGTTTAAAAGAAGAATTGACAGATGGAGCTGGGTATGTTGTTTAAATGGTTGTCAAATTGTCATCAGGGTATATATTTTTGAGAGCCCAGGTGAGCAAGGATTTGTGCAAAGGAAGCCACTCTGGGTATTTCTGGAGGAAGGCTCCAAATACGGGTAATTAATAGGTAAAGTAAGACCAATAAGTAAAGTAGGATCAAAGGCACTACAAAAGGAGCACCATCCCACCAAGGGCACTGGCTTGCATCTTAAAAATGGATCATTTTTGTAAGCCAGAGGGAAGAAGATGACCTGTCCTTGTAACAGGAAGAGGATGGTCTGATCTACTAGTCATAGCAAGGGCATCATCCTGGGAAAGAGGGGGGACCATTCTCCTCCCAACAAATGCAACATCCTTACTCAAACCTATTGAAGATGAATTAGCAAGAGTAGGTTGAAATTGTAAAAACAATCATGAAAGGGCAACAGTGTGAGTTCGCGGGGGAGGGTGTTAAGTTTTATCCCTGTTGCCTTAGTAAGGGTGGGAAAGGAGAAGTTTCTGAGACAACTGGCTATAAATGAGACTCAGGTCTTTTTCTGAGTAACGGATGTCCAAAATCCTTCTTCTACTTTCTAGCAATGGGGATGAATTTGTGCTATTCTGGCCGTACTCTCATACTTCTTTCTCACCTCATCTGTGACAACAGAACATTTACTAGATGGGGGATTTGTGTAAGAGGAAATCTATGGCCACCAATGAAAATAATTGACCAAATAGGAACCAAGGCTAGACCCTTAACCCCATTAGCATTGTACTCTAAGCACTGAGCCAACTAGATATAGATCAAGGGAAAACAAGACTAAAGCTATAGTTGTGTCCCTGAGCCAGGTCCAGACTGAATCTGCTTTTGAACCATATATGGATCTGTAATGTGTTATCAGCTTTTGTGCTGATTCTTTAAAGACTCTAAGCTGAGCTACCTATTAACTACAAACAAATGGAACTGAGTCTTAAAATGGTGATATGCATATAAAAAAATTAAAATATGCAAGTAACTGAAAGGATCTGCACAAATGGCTAATAAATTTGGAACAAATACAAAGGAATACTCCAGCCAGAGTGTGGTCAACCTGTGGAATTCACAGCTGCAGGAGGCAATTGAGTCAAATACTGTGGGTGGATTTCATAAAGAGTTGGTGTGGCAGACAGCTGCCTAGGCAGTGTAAATTGTACTGGGAAAATTATGTACTACTTGGGAAATAACGATGGTAGTGAGGGGACAGACACCAGGACTAGAGACCCAAGTAGGGGGTATGAGCTATTTATATTAGGGAGCACTTTACTTTTTCAAAGGGCTATAGTATCATTTCAAAGTACTTCCTTACAACCATTCCTCCAAAGAAAGGTAGCATTAACATCCCCATTTAAACCCTGTGGGGAAGGAGCAGCACCGAGCTCAAGTGCAAGGTTTTTAGGGAAGAAAATATGGTGCATATCCCTTTTCACCTTCTGTAGCTCGGAGATTCATTTCACCATTCCAATTCCTATCAAAGACCTGCCAGTTCTAAAAACAAAACAACCAATATCCTTCCTCCCCTCTTCCCCATGTAAGATCCTTTTAAATGTTTCTCAGATAGCACAACAAAATTCCCACATCTGAGCACTCCCTGAAATCTCCCCATTTCTGCCAGGAATTTGCAGAGTAGAAAGGGCCCTGGATTTGGAAATACTTTGGGCCTAGAATGCCACTTTCCTGTGGGGTAAGTCTCTTAAACTCTGAGTTTTTTCCCATGTAAAATGGTACACCATTTATGCTACCCAGCTCGTGAGGTTATTCTGAGGATCAAATAAGTTCATTCATTCATTTATTCATGCCTAATAGGCACTTAATAAATGCATGTTGATTGACTGATTAATGCTTATGTTGATTCCACAACCATTGACTAAACAAGTCAATCAACTAAGAACCTATGATGCCTGAATAAATGAACGAATGGTCCCATTTGATTCCCATTCCATGAACCTAAGAGACATGACATCTTATACACAAAATGTTTAGATAATGTATGTGAAAGTGTCTTGCAACCAAACAATAATCTAACACTTACTGGCCTGTGATTGAAATGGGAATGAAAATACTTGTACTCCCTAACTTAGAGGGTTTGTAAGGAAAATGCTTTGTCAAGTGTTAGTGTGTGAGCTATTGTGATGTGAATACAATTATTAGAAATCTAATGATTTAGATAAGACACAGAGCTTTTCTTGTATAGTTTGCTTTCTCAGACCTCTAAGTTATCTATCTATATCTCTTACATTCTATCAATAGAGGCAAAGAAAGGTGGAGAGTAGAATAACCAAGTACTGAGTCCAACTAATTCTGAGTCTGAACAGTAGATAGAGTACTGGGCCTGGAGTCAGGAAGACCCGAGTTCAAATCCAGCCTCAGACACTTACTAGTTGTGTGACCCTAGGAAATTCACTTAACATCTGTTTGCCTCAGTTTCTTCAGCTGTAAAATGGGGGTGATAATAGCACCTACCTCACAAGTTTATTGTGAAGATCAAATGAGATACTATTTGTAAAGCACTTTGGACAGTGTCTGGCACATAGTAGGCACTTAATAAATGTTTATTTCCTTCCTCCCTACCTTCTCTGCCAGAAATACTCTAAATTATCTGAATCAATTGTGTACAACCGCTTGGTGGTTGTAAGAACCTACCATTCCTTGACCTCTTCATATTTTTCTCCTTCTGAAAGTGTTGGACTATTGCTATAGCATAGGGGTTATCAATTTTTCGTAGTTCATGGGATCCAGACTTAGAAAGAACCTTAGAGATTACCCATGACTAGATTCTAGTTCAACCCTCTTATTTTACAGATTAGGAAACTGAGGCTCAGAGAAGTCATGTGACTTGACCAAAGGTGCCCAGGGGAAGGGTCAGGATTCTGACCAAAGTTATCTGATTCCAGGGGCCAATATTATTTTTTCTTCCACGATATGTTGACTTTGAAAAGATCAGATGAAGTATTAACTTCTGATCTTTGATGGGGGATTGTGAGTGGGGGTGGTGGTGATGAAAGCTGAGAGGATGGCGTCTGCTCTGGATCTTTCCGGGGGGGTTCAAGAGCAGCATCAGCTGCTAACCATCTAAAGTAAGAGCAGAGGAAGCATGGCAGCAGAGCACCCCATGTGCCACCGAAAGTCAGTCTGTGTACAACCTTTGGCACGTCTGCCTTCCAGCCAAGATTGCTGAGGCACGCCACCATGGGAAGATATGTCTAACTTGCTTCAACTGCCGTCCTCTGCCACACTGGTGTGATAGGAATCCTTGTAATTATGCCCAGGATGCAAATGAGGAGGAGCTTAAGGGATTCAGATACATTAAGTATTCAAACCTAAGGCCCCGGGGGTAGTCCATCTTGTCTTTTTGTGATAGCATTCCAGGGGCAAGGGGCCTTTTAAGAGGGGGCTCTCTCAACCTGGACATTCAATAGCTCCTGCCTGCAACTTCTAAGCCCTCTTTGAGGAGCTGACACATAGCAAGATCAGACAAACCTGCTGAAGTTTCAGGTTCTGTCAAAACCTCAAGCTCATTTGTTCATTCTGAGTCAGTAAAACCAAAAACACATTTTTCCGAACATTCTCCCCCCCCCTTCATTTTTAAAATCCTGTGTAATTTAAGGGAAATTCAATCCATATGCTTGTGATTTGTTTACACTTGTATCATCAAAATATGTTTTTAAAGAGCTTGTGGAGATCCCAAAAGGCTTTTCAGCCTTTTAAATGAGCTTTTTAAAGCCTTTTTTTCTTAGTAACAGGAGGTTGCATGTTGCCAAGGGTAAATGAACTTGAAAATGAAGAGGTTTCTGCTGGGTTCTGAATTTCAAATCCACCCGTTTTGATTGAGGTTTAAACTCTGACATCCCCTTGGGTTGCCTTATGTTCCCTATCCCGGTAAACCAAGACCATACTTCCTAGGGCTACCCAGGGAATTGTACAAGCACTGACCACATGGCCAGAGCAGTGGACCCAAGGACCATAGCACAAAGACCAACTCAAGAGGAAGGAAAAGACCTAGAAAATGTGCCTGCTTGTTCCTTTTCCTTCACAGAAATAATAATAAATTGGGAGAAGGGGAGAGAGACCATCACTTGGTGGGAAAATCCTAAGAACTCTTGCCAGGACCACATGATAGAGTCAGAGATGACATAAACAAGTAACCAATAGATCATTCTGTCCACTTTTCCAATTCTTTGTGACCATAAAACCACTCTATGTAAGATCGTCAGTATTTTATACACAAACACACACACACACACACACACACACACACACACACGTGAAACTTAGAGTCCACAGTCCAGTCCTTTGTTTTTTAATTTTTTTACAGAGGGGGGAAAATGAGGCCCAGAAACAAAATGGAACCACTCAGGGTCCTATTGCTAGGTGATGAAGTCAAAGATCAAGGACCAGTGCCCCAGTCTCCTCTCAGGATGTCCTATTGCCTCTCTGTCACCAGCAAACCAGTTGTAGATAGAAATAATTTATGTGATTACTCAATTGTAAATGTCTTGCATACAGGCCCTGTGTTTCATTGTCTGGAACATATTAGGTGTTTGATATTTTGGGGAAGGAGCAAATAATGTGCAAGGTCACAATGCCAACACTGAAAAATAAGAAATCCTTGTATTGTGGGGTTGTGATTTTTTAACAGTTTAAATCCTTTGACTCTTGTGGCATCACTTTTATTCTCCTGTCCTGTCTATTCCCCATCCTTGACAGATGCTTTAAGCTGAAGGTATTTCTAGCATGATGTCTTCTCTCCGTTCTTTTCTCATCTCAGAACAGGCAGTCTATAAGTCAAGGGAATCAAAGAATGAAGGTTTTAAGAAAGATGCAGAAAAGCCCCTTCAAAGCCTGTCTCCCTCATCAGCAACAAATATGTGTTGAGTAAGTGCCCAGTGTGTGCACAGAAATTTACTGAGTATTAATGAAACTCAGCACAAAGGGAGACAACTCTATATTCTGAGAGATTAAAGCCTTGTTTTCAGGTAATTTCCTCTTTGTGGTTCACACTGTGCAATCCTTGAGCAGACTAAAAGTGTGTTTAGAAATGATTCATCAAAGGTCTGCAAATAGACAAATGTCGTTTGGCTATGAGCAAATTAGCAAAGTCTATCTCACTGACCCTTCTGCTTTCACACTAATTGTTTATTTAACCAATGGTTGCTATTCTTGTTGAAAAGCCTTCAGAATACTGCCTAAAACCCTTAAGATTAGCCTTGTGAACAAACGAGTAAATATAAATATCTTTATCAACCTTTACAAGCCTCTATAAAAATCGACTTGATGTGACAATTCATGTCCTTCCTTTCTTTCTCTCTGTCTGTCTGTTTCTATCTCTGTCTCTCTGTCTTTGTCTCTCTCTCTCTCTTTCTCTCTCTTTCTCCCTCTTCCTCTTTCCCTCTCCCTCTCCCTCTCTCCCCCTCTCTGGCTCTCTTTTCCCATATGTTCACGTGTATGAACAAATTTATAAAAGATGAAGTAATTCCATAGCAGACCATGGCCCCAAGGCAGATCATCAACTCATTATTAATCTTATCTTCAGGTGTTAAAAATCAATGTAATTCAGTACAGTTTCTCTCAGAAGCCAAAATAAGAAGCTGTTAAAATGAGGAGGCCAAGTATACTTCATACTAGGAGTATGCATTTATATGATGCAGTATAGGGTGATTTATATAGTGTTTTCATTTTTAGAAGCAAGATACTAAGTACACAGTATTACTTTATTGCATATTTATAAGAAGCATATTAAATACTACATATTCATTGATTTAGCCTAATCCTAGAATAGAATCTCAGAGCAAAAAGAGGTCTTATAGATCATCTAATTCAACCCCTTCATTTTAGAGATAAGGAAAATGAGGCCTAGAGAGGGGAAATAATTTCCCTGAGGGATATTTGTCTAGTTAGTGGCAAAACCGGGACCAAAATCCAGGTCTTGAGACTCCTGCTTCTCCACGTCCTGTGGTCTTTCTTTTGCCTTTGGGGAAAAACTACAAAGAACACTGTGAGTTCTAATCCTTAGGCAAGCCATTTAAGGGACACAGCTATGACAATGTAGAGAGAGTGATGGATTTGAAGTCACTTCTCTAAGGCCTCAGTTCCCTCATCCATGACTGAGGAGATTGAAGCAGATAACCACTTAGGTCTCTCCCAGCTTTGAATCCGTAATCCTATTACCTTTAAGGTCCCTTCTGGTTCTAAGTTAAGGAAAGAAAGACCTCAGCATGTTGGGTGGACCTTGTGGGCAAATTTATGAAAGGGTACAGGAGTGACAAAGCGTGGGTGACAATCTGCCCACTTTCTGGTGGTTTTATTTTTTTTCTGCGCTCTTAGTTGCAATAATGTTTCTCGTGGAAGCAAATCTAATGTGCCTGTAGTCTCTCATAAATAATCACCAATCCAACAACAAGCCACAGGAAAAAAAAAATCTATCATTGTTGAGGGGTATGAATGACATAAGAGCCACACTCCTAGTGCATTTTAAAAAGCCAGGTAGTTTCCTTTTTTTTTTCTTGAATGATCAACCAAACTCAAAAAAAGCAAATACTTCAGTCATTTCCTCTGTTTTCTTTAAAAATGAAAACCAGGTAGTAGCATAAGCAAGGCTCTTATCTATTTAGCATTCTTGCAAGTCCTGGAGAACAGACAGACTTCTTCGAAGGCAGTGTGTGAAGACTTAAAGTCTTGCAACTTCGAAATTCATTTAAAAAATATGGGTGGATCACCTCATCTTCTGAAAGGCTGCTATTCATTTAAGTCTCGCATTTGGATAGAACACAGGTGCAAGCCTTTAAAGCAATTCAGGAAATGAAACGATGGAAGACATTAAGCACTTACCTAAAACATTACTTCACTCCCGGCAAGATGGCTGAAGCCGGATCGAAACCAAAGAAGAAGCACATGTGGATGTCATGTCTCAGGTGGAGCCCGTAGGTCGATAAGGGATTCTTTGTTCCATCTGGTCCACATTTAATGACTTCACAGGACAATAGAGGTGGTTGAGGAGGGAGAAAAAGAGAGAAGTGGCATGAATGGCTTTGTGAAGTCCTATTTCAGATCCTTCATAGATTTAGAGTTTATCATTTCAAGAGCAGATAAAATGCTCAAATTCCACACCTTCTGACTTTCAGAATGTTTACCCACATGATCTGAGAAAGAACAATTAGCAGAGAAAGTCAGTGTCTCTGACAACTTACTACCTATGTGACCTTGGATAAGTCATTTAGGCCCCCCCTCTCCCACCTCAGTTTCCTCATCTGTTAAATTAGGGGGTTGGATTAGATGGTCTCTGAGGTTCCTTCCTGGATCTGTTATCCTTTGATCACCATATCCCCAGGGGTGGGGGACCTTCCCTCCCTGCTCTTTCCCCTGTGTTCTGCTATGATGTTGGGATCATTTAGTCTTCTGTCAGAATTTTAAGTAAACCTTTAGAAATGAAATTGTTAGCACCAGGGTTGTGTCAGAAAGCCAAAATTCATGATTTGTGACTGGCTTTTGTTATTTGACCTGTGGTGTTTTATTTGTGGGCTGACACTGTCAAGAACACTCCCAGGAAAGATCAGAGCGCATGAGATTTCACAGAGACCACAAGTTTATTTCAGACATAACCTTTCGCAGACAGCAATGCAAATAATGATTCAGCTAACTCAGCAACTGTCTTTCCAAGAGAGGTTTGGATGAGGTCTTTGGAAGGCAAACATCTTTGAAGGGCACCTCCTGGTCCCAGGAAATGATCTATCTTATCTCCATTCTCTAACTCCTCCCTGTAACTCCCTGGCAGTCTCACCTCTTCCCCTTTCAATTCACCTTAAAAAAAAAAAAGGTTTATTGATGCCTTTTTTTTTGATATCCAAGTCATCTGCAGATTTACCCAACCCCACTGAATGCTCCTTTGTAACAAAGAAAAACGTTTTAAATCCTACTGAGACAATGACCACATGTAAGTGTATACAGCATTCTGTACCCATAGTTCCCCATCTCTCTGCTGAAAGAAGGGAAATTTGCTTGGTCATCTGTTTTCTGAGACCGAGATTGGTCATTAGAGTTTTCCAGAGTTTGACTTCCATTCAACAGTCTTTTCATTTGCATCATTGTTACCATTTTATATGTTGCTCATTTGGTTGTTCTTGGGTTCTGTGGCTTTGTAAGTATTTTTAAATCATTATGGGCATGTTCCTTCTCTTCCTCTTTAACTGAAATGCGATGGAGAGTACCATGACTCAGATGGAGAGGATCTGGGCCTAAGTCCTGCCTCTGATTCTGACTACCTGTGTGACCTTACTCGAGTTATTTAACCTTCTTCCTCAGCCTCACTTTACTCATATATAAAATGAGCAGATTGGACTAGATCATTTTTGAGGTTCCTGACAGCTCTAAAGCTATATTTAATATACATATAATGTATGTAAATACACACATACGATACATAAGATAGTTAATTATATCTTTTTTAAAAAATCTTTGTATTCTGCATATAAGGTGATTTGATAAAGCTGTGAATCATGAGTAAACTCCTTGAGGATAGGAATTGTTTTTCCTTTGTATCCTTGATGCTGAACATAAGGCTCGCACAAAGTGAATGCTTACGAAATGTTTGCTTATTTCTTAAGTGGACAACTTCTCTCCCTTTCATCTGCTTTAGCACAAAGACATGCAGTAAGTCAATGAGACCCTTCCAAGACTTCCAGGGTAGAATTACGAGCAGATACCTATACAGCTCTGTTTCTGAGGAGGCTATCATTGAAAGGTGTCATTATTTAGAGTCAGAAGATGTGAGTTCAAGTCCCACCCGCCAGCTCTGCCATTAATCAGTTACACCAGTTACTTTTCCTTCTCCAATTCTCCATTTCTTTATCTGTGTGGTTGTAATAATGCTCACCTACCTAATACAGTAATTAATGCCTGTCTACCTTCCAGGGTTGTTGTAAGGAAAAGGCTTTGGACCATCCAATGGGAGCCATTATTTTATTTGCATCCCCTGAATAAGAAGCAGGCCAGGATTACACACATCAATCTCTGACTCCCTCTCAGAGCCTGTGCCTGAGCCAGGGGGCCTTTCCAACTGGAGAAGAGCCAGAGCCTTTGTGAGGCTGTTGCCTGGGAACACAGCAGAGCTCACCTATTATGTGCAGTACCTTGGGTACCATGCTTCTCCTCTTTTTTTCTCTGGTCAATGGGATTTGGGTGACAGGAGACACAGACAACCTACTTACATGAATGGAGTGAGCAAAGTGAGAGGCAAATCATTCTTTACAGTGTACTCTCCCAGCCAACAAGCCAGGGGAGCAAACACGGCGGTCATGAGAGACTCCAGATTCAACGCCTTTGGCCACCCAGGCAGCTAACCCCTTCCACAAATAACAGGATGAAGGACGGAGGGGAGGGGCAAGGCAGCTCCATGATGTTACTCAGGCCCTGGAAAAAGGGAAAAGAAGGTGCTATTCTATGTCAAAATACTAAGTCGCTGGGCAAGAGTTGAATGAGGGAGGCCACCTACACTTATGGGCTCAAACCCTGCTTTTTGCTACTACTGTTACCACCCTAGCTGAGGTCCTCTTTATTTCTGCCCTATTCTGTTGCAATAGACTGCTAACTTTTTCCCTACCCTCTAGTCCAAGGATTCTTAACATTTTTTTGGTCATGGACCTCTTTAATAGTCTGGTGAATCCTGAGCCCTTCACAGAATAATGTTTTTAAGTGCATAAAATAAAATCCATAGGACTACAAAGGAAACCAATTATAGTGAAATATTTATCAAAATATATTTTTTATAAAACAAATTCATGGACCCCAGGTTGAGAAGCCCTGTTCAATTGCCTCTGCATCTGATCTGTCCTTTATGCCACTGATTGAGTAATCTTCCTAATGTACAGGTCTCATTATATAACTTTGTATTTCTAACCAATAAAATTCAAACTCCTTAGTTGGACTTTTGAGACCCTCCACAGCCTGGCTTCAGCTCTGGCCTTGCCTAATGCTACCTCCCTGTATCTCTGCTGTTATTTTCTGAATACATGTCCTGCTTTCCTTTTTTCGATTCTTAGTACTTGAAATGCCCTTCCCTTCCATTTCCCCTCCCCCCAATCTTCCATCTTGATCTGTTGAAATCTACTAGTCCTTCAAAATTAAATTCACATACCACCTCTTCTTTCCACCCTCCTCTCTTAGCTTTCAAGCCTGAAGTGACCTTTCCTACCACTGAGCTCTCAAAGTACTTTGTACATCTTCCATGTGCCAAAGAATCATAGATTTAGAACTGAAAAGGCCCTTAGAGATTGTATATTATCTGACCTTCCCACTTTATTGAGAAGAAAGAAAATTGAGGCCTACAAAGTTAAAACGACTTGCCCAAGGTCACACAAGGAGAAAACCCAGATCATCTTGTTCCTGATAGAATGGTCTTACCACTCACTACACAATGCTGTATCTACTTTATTTATTCTTCATCATATTATACTCAGTTCTGCAGCAGTTTGCTTATATCATCTCCCATCCTAAGTGCCCTAGATCATGGAATTGTGCAGTCACAGACAGTTATGGGAGCTATAAGGGGACTTTAGAGATCATTTAGTCTAAAAAAACTCTCATCTTCTAGAAGAAGAAAACAACGTTTGTAAACTTCTTAAGAGAAAAGATGATGCCTATTTAACTTTGCATCTCCTTTAAGAGATGGACAGTGTCTTATACAGAGTAGTTCCTTGAAAAATGGTGAGCTGAATGAAATGGGGTTTTAAATACAGTCCAATTGCTACCATCTGATGATCATGTAACTATATCTGGAGCAATTTTGGAGTTTAGAACTGGAAGCAATGGATAGATGTTACCATGTAACCTTTGCACATAACACAGCCTCTGAAACTTAGATGTCTCAACTCTAAAATAAAGAGGTTGAACTAGATCATCTTTGAGGTACTTTCAAGTTGTAAAAATCTAACTTTATATCTAAATATAAGAATTTCTTAACAGCTAGCACTGATTATGATTAAATTGCCCTGTGGGGTAGCAAATTCCTCATCACTAACACGTGTTCAAGCAAAAGTTGGTTGCGCACTTCTCAGAGATGTCACAGAGGGAATTTATGCTTCAGGTAGGAACTAGGTGGAGAGCTGGGAATGATCATGAATACCGTGGTTGACCAGGACAGGATTGCAAATTATTCAGACTGTCTAGAATTATAGGCCCCAATCTCACAGCATAAAATGGATTTATGACAAATGTGAAGTCCTATACTTTGCACAAATCATTCAACCAACAAGCATTTATTAAGTCCTGTCCTGTGTCAGGGACTATGTTAGGTGTTGAGAACCCAGAAGGATGAGCAAAAGAGTCCTGGTCCATTGTAACAAGGGAGAAAGTAGACACATTATATAATAGATACAAAACAGCTAGAATATAGTGTTTTGTGGGCTTTGAAGGAGAAGGGGAATCTGGGAAATATACCCACATACAAAAGGTAGTGTTTGAGGCAGAGGTTAGGAGGGAGTACATTCGTGGGGGACAGCCAGGGCAAAAGCACAGACAGAAAAGAGGATTTGGAGTGCCACGTGTGAGAAATAGAAAGGACAGTTTAGCGGGCATTCCCATGTCTATCTCTCCCATCCCTAGAATGCTCTCCCTCCTCTGCTCTGCTTCCTGGACTCCTTGGCTACTTTATGTCCCAGATAAAATCTCACCTTCTAAAATAAGCCTTTTCCAATTCCTCCTTAAAGTTAATGCCTTCCCTTGACTGATTATCTCTAGTTTATCCTATATATAACATGTGTGTACAGAATTATTTACATGTTATCTCTCCCACTATAATGTGAACTCCTTGCTGTGTGTGTGTGTGTGTGTGTGTGTGTGTGTGTGTGTGTGTGTGTGTGTGTCTCAGCACTTAACACAGTGCCTGGTACAATGCTTGTTAATGCTTAATAAATGCTTGTTAACTTACCAACTGACTGGACCACAGGATTAGTAGGAAGGGACCAGTCTGTGAAGAGGGCCTTAAATGCTAGACAGAAATTTATATTTGATAATAGGGAGGGAAACACTGGAGTTGAATGGATATGTGAATTTGGAGGAGTTGGGGAGGTTTGACATAATCAGACCTTTTCTTTAGAAATAGAACTCTGGCTATTCTGTGGTGATGAGTAGAAAGAGGAGAGGCCTCAGACAAGGGAGATCGATCAGAAGTCTATTGCCATAACCCAGGTAAGAGACAATAGGGGCCTAAATCAGATCTGTGTCTGTGTGAATGCAAAGGAGGCTATGCAGAGACAGTGTGGAGACAGAATCAATGTGACTTCACAGCTATGCTGATGTGTGGGGTGAGTGAGTGAGGTGGCCAGGAGGACTCTAGGGTTGGGAGTATGGTGGTGCCCTCAAGAGAAGAGGAAAATTTGGAAAAGAGATGGTGGGGAGCAGGGAGATGGAGAATGAGCTCTGTTTCAGATGTTTTTAATTTGAGATGCCCATAGAATAACCAGTACCAAATGCCCAATAATTAGTTGATGATGTAGCATCAGGGCTCAGGAGAGAAACTAGGACTGGATATATGAATCTGGTACTTATCCTCACAGAAATGATGATTGAACCCCTGTAAGCTAATGGGGTTACCTATTGTATAAGTGGATGAATGAACATTTAGCAAGCCCTTTCTATGTATGAAGCCTTGTGCGAAGCAGTGGGGATATAAAAAGAGAACAAGATAGTCCTCGCTCTCAAAGTGCTCCCATTCTAATGGGGAAGATGACACATATGGAAGATTTCAGCTGCAAATCAGATGGCAAGATCCCACAGTCCTTAGGGAGCAAAGGTAAAGCAGATAGTAATACTTCTTCTTTACTATCATTTCCACTGATAAAATGAGACCTGTTTCTGATGCTGAACCATTAGCAAGACAGTCAAGATATAAAGAGCAGAATATTGGGCTTAGGACATAATGTGGATGATGAGTCAGGCAGAGTCAACTGCAGAAATATGGAATGGGGGCAGCTTGAGTAGAAAATTCATGTAGAAATGATTGAGGGCTTTTAGTAAATTGACTCAACATGAATCAATAGGCCGAATCACAGCCCAAATCTAATCTTAGTCTGTTTTAGGCTCCTCCACAGGAGTGTAGTGACCAGAATGAGGGAGTTGGTACTGGACCCTGCCCTGGTCAGACCAGAGCTGGAATTCAGTTCAGGTACAACATTTTAGGAAGGTGTTGACAAGGTGAAGAGAGTCCTGAGAAGTAAGCAAGATAGTGAAACTTTGGAACCGGGGCAAAGAAAGATTGGTTGAAGGGCCTAAGAATGTTTAGCCTGAAGAAAAGATTACTTAGGAGGAGCATCAAAACTGTCTTGAAGTTCAAAGAACTATGATGTAAAAGAAGGTTTAGATTTGCCCTGCATGGCTTCAAAGGATAAAACCAGGAAAAAAGGATGAAAACTTAAGGGGAAAAAAATTCCTTAAAATTAGAGGTATCCTAAAATGGAATTGCTGCTTCAGGAAATAATAGGCTCCTCGTCATTGGAGGTGTTCAAGTGAATTTCTTATTGGGATATTGTAGATGGAATCGAGGCTTTGGATATGGTGTGGAGGCAGAGACCTCTGCGCTCCCTCCTCGCCCTAGAATTCTCTGAGTTTATGAATTCTGCTCTATGGCAAATCACATTATATTAAGATTCCCTTGCTTTAAGTAAAACTATTTTATTTTTAAAAAAGTTTTTATGGCACCTTCTACGTAGAAATCTAGTTCCCTGCACTCTCCTGTTCTTACAGCAGTGAGCTTATGTAAGTTGGAGAAACCCTGTCATAGAAAATCCAGCGTTCTTCTTCCCATATATCCTATGTATCCCACATCCAGGCACAGTTTCTTTCTATGTGTCTATCATTTTGACCAAGGTCACATGGGAACCAGAATTTTAACAGTTTTGATGTGGAAGAAAGTTTTTGTGCTACTGCTTGTAGCAAATTGGGAAAACTGAGGAAATATTTCACAAGGCAAGCAGATTCTCCTGTCAAATGTTAAATTTCTAGAACGAAGCCAGGGACCATCCATCTCTTGTCAGATCTAAGAAGTAAATGGATGTCTTTATTTTTTACAGATCAAAGTGAAGCCTAAGTGAACCCAATTTTAATAAGGTCACCTTAAAAAAAAAAGCAACAATTCTTACCCTGTAGTTCATAGGAATGTGTTAGAGTTTGCACAGGATTATGGGGACAGACTGCAATTACTATTTCTTTGACAGCTGTCTCTCCTCTGCCCTCACTCTCTTGTGGGGTTCAGAAACATCATTGCAACATCTTTCTTCAGCTGCCAAGCTTTGGTCCTTGAGAAATAGAATTCTCCCAATTTCTTCAGAATAAAAAGCCCTTAAGGAAGCTTAAATGCTTCCTAATTCCTTTCTTCTCATAAAGTGGAATGAATCTTTAT